TCACCTGATGGTAAGTGACTACCGCCGCCCATGAACAACCGCAACACCAGGGGAATCGCAGATGCGTTGCCGGCCTTTTAAAAAGGAGTAGGCTCTTTTCTTGAAGGTCCCTAAGTCGTATCGGTCCGGAAAAATGGCTGGTGGTAAACTATTCCACAAGGAAGTTGTGCGAGGAAGAAAACATCTTCTAAATCGCACAGTGGTGGACCGCCAATCATTCAGATGGTGTGGATGGTATCGGGAGTTCAGTCCGTGATGTGCGTTCGTGAAATTTGGCGGCTGGGATTAATCCGAACAATTCTTCAGAGCACTCCCCATGGTAAATGCGAAAGAAAATGCAAAGAGATGCAACATCTCTTCGCAGTGCCAATGAATCGAGCCGATAGGAAAGGTTACGTAAATCCAATGTTCCAGAAAAATATAGACTTTTACTCCGTCTAAAAAAAAGTCCGCGATACCATATGTCTATTTCTTATACATAAGCGATAATTTGGTATTTTGTGATAAAAAATATTGAAAATTTAAAAGTGATTCATGAGCGATATTATTAGGTATGGCCTATTTATCCTTACGAACAAAATGTTACTTCATCATCAAGACAATTTTATGAAGATAAACTTTGTTCTTTATACGATGTTATTTCGACGCATAGTTTAATAGATAATGTAAAATTGAAATAATTCAATACTTGGCTGGGCGCGCCAAACCCTAGCCTTTATAAAATGCTTGAACTAGGTCATGTCGCGCACCTCGGACACGTGATGACGCGGGTGAAACTGAGGGGCACAGCTTATTATAATTTCACAACTTTTTATTCACTGATTAAAAGTTACTTTTATAATTGTTAGGTATAATTCTCCTTAACGTGAAAGCGCCAGGGTGGCCCGCAAATTCAAATTTTCTTAAGTTTTTTTTGCAATTTGCAGGTCAGTGTCAGGTTATATGTTTAACAAAATATGATTCATGGCCATAGCGAGTATGCGTTTACAGAATTATTATTATTATAATTGTCAATACTACCCTCTAAGTTCGTATAATCACATTGTATGGTTATTTCCAGAAAAACTCATACAAAGGGATTATATGAACGTTGTATTGGTGATTTTAATGATAATAATTCTGTAAACACATACTGGTTACGGTAGCAAATCATATTTTGTTAAACATACAACCTCACCCTGATCTGCAAATTCCTAAAAACGTAAGAAAATTGACGAATTTTCGAATGACGATTGAAGAAATAACTACGTTTAAGAGGCAGCACTTCATATTAAAATAGGGGCATCCTTAATTATATTTACTTTTACTAAGGAAGTCCCGCCTCTTAAATGTAGTGATTATATATTCTATTAAAACAAGTTCTCCGATGGTGATGTGATCTCAAGATAAGGTCTGCTTACTGCTTAAGCACCATGAGATACTATTGCCAATTGTCGGCTGGCTCAAATTGCCGACAAAATCTCCCAAAAACTACGCAATGTGTGTGACGCATCACATACTAGTGAAGGACATTAAAAAAAACATCGATTTTTTCGATTGAATGCATCGGATTGTAGCATCGATGTAATATCAATGTATCAAAAAATACATCAATGTTTTCTATACATCGATTTTTTTTCTATAAGTTAAATATGTATGTGGTTTAAAAATAAAAAGCAAGCATCTTTTAATATAACTTTATTACCTTTACATTTATTTTTAATATATATCCCAATAATTTTTATCTATACTTTGTGAAAACAAAATTTTACCCAAACTTTTACCCTTTAATCTATTCTTTTGTTGAGTCATTACCCGCGCCGCTTGTGAAAACAGTATCTCTGATGGCACTGATGTGCCCACCATTGTTAGATCTTTAAAGGCAATTTTATGCAATATTGGAAACTGTATTTTGTAATCTTTCCAAATTTCTAGAGGATTGTCTTTAAGTCTTCCAACAGGACTTCTCAGATAAACTGAAATTTTATCTGACAAGCTATCTTCAGATTTATTACTCTTCCAATTGCGATGTACCAGTTTGTAATGATCACTCCATAATGAAAATGTCTCTTCACTTTTATCAGACTTATCCGAGTCTGACTCGATTTCTTCAATTTCACGCAAATGAATCTTCATTAAAAATCCATTTATTTCTTTTTCAAGGCATACTAAATACTAAAGTAATTGGAGCCACCTAGTAAGTATAAAAGAATACCTGTGTCAGGAGGCACCGCTCTTCCTAATAACATTAAATATTGAGATAAGCCATTGATCATCAAATCTTTGATTTTCGATACAGCATTGCTACAAGCTATTGCATTATTAAAGTGATTTTTTTTAAACGTGGATCTAAAATGTTTACTATAGAAAGAGGAGTTACATGTTTAATGGAACTCATTCTTTTCGTAATTTCTTGCAGAGCCAGTTTTTGCACTTCTCGTGCCACAGGTCCTCCTGCGACACCTGCTGAAGTAATTTTTAAAATATGCAGCGGACTAAAGGTATAATTTTGCTTGTTGTGCAATATTTATCTGCAGAAATTTCTTTTGTGGCTATCTCCAAAGGCCACAATATCAGGAGGACGGATGAGGCAATGGATATTTCTGAACTGCTGAGCATTGGGGGTGCGGTGGCGTGTCGAAAAAGAATATCATTTATTTGCAGTTATAAAAATCTTTGTACCATGTAGTAAGTACTATTCCAGCGCGTCGGTACGCTTTGTATAAGTTTAGTCTCAGTAGAAGTAGCTTTGCGCAATTTGTTACTAGCAACGCAACTTTGTTTGAACCAGGTCACAATTCAGTCACAAACATGCCACTGTGCCCTCAGCCACCAAATTTAACGTATGATCCAAACATGGAATGTATTTCTTCTTACCAAACGTCAATTCTACAGCTTTCACCATATTGGCAGCATTATCGGTTACAACAGCCGTCACATTATCTTTTTTAATACCCCATTCTTCACAAGTTTTTAAAAGCATTTCAGAAATATATTGTGACGTATGTCTTTCATTGAGTTCGTACACGCCGAGAATAACTGAAATGAGTTCAATTTCTATTCTAAAATGAACTGTTACGCCTATAAAACTATATATTTAATGTTTTAGACCAAATATCTGTCGTCAAGGTTAAGTCTTCTATCGAAGACAATTTCTTTTTAAAAGTTTCTGCAACAACCTCATATTTATTATCCAGCCATCGTGTTAGACTTGTTCTACTTAGTATTTTATATTGAGGAGCAACTGCTTTCATAAGATTTTTGAAACCTTCATTCTCGACTATTGAGAAAGGCTGATGATATTTACAAATCATATATAACAAACAATTGTTAAGTTTTCTTGTTTTAATGCCGGATTCTGAATAAGAGGAGATTTCTTGAAAACTGGTCTTTATAGATTTTTGACGTTCTATTGAGATTACTTCCGAATTAGAATCTAAAGCTTTATTCAAAGGTTTTGACGTACTTTGAGAACTACTCGTCGAAGGAATAACGGTTTCGGAATCAGATTGAACTGATTTAAGTTTTTCAACAGTACCAATGCAAGGTGTCTCATTGGAAATTGAAGCAGCTGGCTCTAGAACTGATTGCGTGATACTTTATTTCTCCGATGTAGTCCTTTGAAACGGAACAATTTCAATGTAAGCAGCCTTTTGGACATTACGAATATGCCCAAATAAGTTTGTTGTATTTCCAGTACACTTGATAACTTTTTGACATAACTTACATTTAGATTTATTGTCATCAATTCTGTCGTAAAACTTCCAGACTAAACTTTTGTTTTTAGGCGCCATTATATTCTGAAATAGATAAAAAAGGAATGTATTTTCAATTAAAAAAAATATCGATAACGTGGTATCGATAACATGGATTCACAAGTGATATAATTCGTTATTAACTTCGGTTTATCTCATAAAAATGTATCGATTACCGTAAGTATCATTTGTTATGATAAATAATTACTCCCTTTAAAGTAAATAATTGGACATTTAAATGATTACTTAGATTAGACAGATTAATATGAAAAATATTTTTATGTTTCTAACCTAGAAGACTAAAACGCGATGTAATGTTTTACTTAAATATGTACGACATTAAGCACGAAATACAATTAAAGTATTAGTTTCGGAATTTTGTTTAATTTACAATTATGCTTTTACGGAAATCTCGAAAATTATAACTTATATATCATTTAGATGCACGCACTTACCTTTGTTTACTTGTGCAACGTGTTCACAGACTTATTATGATATTAATATTACATATAACGTGTTGTTCAGCTTAACACTTCGATCGATTTATAAATATTATTGCTAACACGACTCACCAAATTTTAAAATAAACTCTGTATCAAGCTGAGTGGGTAATTAATTAATACAAAAATTAAAATAATATGATTTTTGAAGCCAGAGACTGCAACTAATCGGATCAATTCAGTCGGCTCTTTGCATTTATATTTTTTATTTGTCGGTTGCACTGACCTCTATAATATTGGCTGCCTTTTCAACCAGTGATACCACTTTTTGACGAAACACCTTGCGAGTGCTAAATAATGTAATTGAAAAAGACAAAAAAATAGTTATTAACCGTAGAGAGAGAGAGAGAGAGAGAGAGAGAGAGAGAGAGAGCGGTAGGTTTGTTTGCCTTTTCAATGCATCGAAAAAAAAACATCAATGTATACTCGATGCTTAAAACTTAACTATACATCGGTTTGATTCGATGCATCGTTACTATACATCGAATATTTTTAAAACATCGATGTATATCGTCCACTCCTGTCACATACACATATTGTGAAGCAGTGTACTTTAAAGGATTATTATCACTTGATACTGAAAATCTATGAAAACGAAGATCCCCAATGAAATGAAGACATGACTTAAAAGACAAGTATTCAAGCCAAAATTTATTTATTTATGAAATTTCACTTTCAGTCTATTTATCTATGCTTTCAGTTACAGCTTAATAACAACAACAACTTCATTTAATTTTAAAACTTTTATTTTTCCTATAATTGAAAAATGTCTCAAGATCTTATGGTACGATTAAAGTTATTTTATTTTATAATAAGTTTGATGAACATTACATAAATTATTACTTACTTAACTTATTGTATATTGCATATTGTTTCAGAGTCAATTTTATAGTTGCTTTAATTTACCTTTGCAAGAGAGGTTAATAGAACTGACGAGAATTATAGACCAGTCAAGCCCAACTAAAGATTTGCAAGCATTATTTCCACAACTCATAAATAATATATTTGCTCCATCATTCAATAATGGCTGGGGCTTAAAAACAGTTACATGTGATGGAAACAGAAATTTGTTTGAAACATTAATGGCATTCTTAGAACCTCAAGGACCAATGTTTCAATTGTGTTATAAATTACTTTCTGATCCACAATTAAAGTATAATCTTCCACTTAATGCTCTTCCGGTAAGATTTTGACAACTTTAAAATTATCTTTGTTGCCTAAAATTTAAATAAATGTATAATTTTTTTATAGTTGGACTTGCAAATGACATTGGAAAGAGGTCGTTGCCCACAATTTTATGTTGATATGTTGTCAGTGGATTCTCATACACTAAATGTAGTCGGATTAACACTAAGTATCCTTTTTAAAAATTGCTTGTAATTGTATGAAATTGTTGTAATTTTGTAAAACAATAATTATGATCTTAAGTTGTGGCTAAGTATTTGTCTCTAGTACTAGGGTCACAGGGTTGAAAATTCTTCAGATAATTGTTTGAGTCCGGTTTTCCTCATGCCATTTAGAAACTCTTTATTGGATATAAAGAAATACCTACTTAAGTAAACTTAAAGTTACAGCCTATAATACTTCCCACTGCTTGGCATAGACTTTTTAGGACAAGGAAGTTTATGCAGATTGCCAACATAAATGGAGGCATATGTCTTGGAAATAAATTTTTTCATGTCATGACATGCACAACATTTTTGTTCAACACTGTGCATGTGGTAAATTTAGCACATAAAATTTTAACTAACTATTTCATTGATCCCAGCTGTGATCAAACCCAGGCTCCTTATGTATTGTGAAATTTACAACAAGCTCTTAGCCCTTGAGCTATCATGACTCTTATTCTAACCACCTCAATAACATAGGTGAGATTCAAGTGTATCTGATAACTAAGGATTCCAGAACTTTTCTTCACAAACATCTTATCTACATTGTGAGAGTTCACACTTTATAACATATCTGTCTACTAAACATATATCAATTATAATATTATATACCTATTTGTTTTTGCATCTTAATGAGTAAGGAAGGAAGTGGTGCATTGGCAGAGGTCTGTAATAAGATGTGCAAACATATGCAGCATGTGCTTAGTGCATCATTCAGTAGTCATATATACTCATAAATCTCTATTATATACTATATACTATACTCAGTAATCACATATACATATCAACTCATGGCAAGTTAATTAACATAGTTGTATCTAGGTTCAAAAATTTTCAATAAATGTCATATTGCAATATATTCTGTTGCATAGAATAATCAATAAGCAGGTGTGTAGTAAGTAATATTAAAATTGCGTATTATGTGAATATTAAAATCTTACATTTGATGCAATATTTTAATACAATATAATATTTTAATATAATAATTTCCTTATCATGAATCTCAGACCCATTTGACTATTATATATTTCATTTTGCTCTGCATCTGATCAGTAATAGCCAAAACAAAAGTTCATGGGAGAATTGGAACAGTGCTTATTTTTCTCTTGCATGTGACTATCTAATACATTTTTTGCCCTCGGATCCAAATGTACCAGTGCTACCACACATACCACATTATACGGGAAAAGTGCCTATGGTTGCTCCGTTGCAAACTGTAAATAGGTTAGTATTCAAATTGATGTAAGTGTAACTATATGCTTAATTACAATTCTTCCTCTCTTGTGTTAATTTTAATTTTTTACTAGCTTATGCCCGCGACTAGGATATACTTACAAAGATTTCAAAGCAAAAATGTACTTTGCTTACTAAAATTTCTTTGTAAACAATGTTATTCATTGCTCCGTTTGTAACTAAAATATTTTTAAATTATCTGGATTAGTAACGCGAGAGGAAGTAAAAAAACCTGTATAAAAATTGTTGTTTTCTTAAAACTTTACATTAAATGAAGATATTGCAATAATTTCTTTTCTAGATAAGGGCCTAAGAAATGAAACTTAGAAAACCTAATTAAAATCTATCCAGTAGTTTTTCCGTGATGTGTGCACAACTGCAATCCTCTATCATTTTATTTATATAGATTTCTGTTTTTTTTTCCTTTCCCTGACTTATAGCATATATTTCGGAGTTCAGTATGCCTGTTGGCAAACGCCTCCTTTAATGATTTCTATTGCTTTCTGTCCCTGTTTTCTAGTTTGGACCTCCTATGATTTTAAGTTCATCCTCCGATCTTCGACCTCTAAATCGTTTACCACTTCTAGGGTACCATTCTGTCAGGATTTTGCTCCAGTTGTCCTGCAGGCTCTGTAACATATGCCCATTTCCATCTCTCCCACCATCTCCATTACATTTGGTATATCTTAATCAGGATGTCTGTCTCCTGTCCTAGTTCTTATCAATGTGTTCAGTTTTGTCTAGTTTCTTGATTCCCAAAATGCTTCTCTGTATAGCTCTCTGACTGAGCATATTCCTATGGTGTTTGTAGAGTGCCCATACATAAGTAAGACAAGGGAGAATACAGGCGTTAAAGACTGTGCTTAATTTTTTACTGAGATCTGTTGCTTTCATGATCTCTCAATGATCAATATCTTTTCCAACCTTTGGCTATTCTTCCTTTGATTTCTTTGGTAGTTAGGTCTGTTTTAGAGCTTATGGTTGTGCTAGATATATGTACTCTTGACATATATTCAAGAGGTTGTCTTTTGATTATTATTTTGTGTGGAACTAAATTTGTAATAGCTGTTTTGCTTATATTCATTGTCAGCCCTGCCTTTTCACTTTCTTTCTTTAAATCTTGTATATTTGGGTTTACATTTAACAAGACAATATTGTCTGTGAATCGGAAATGGTTCAGTCCTACCATCTATATTAAGTCAAAATTCATCCCATTCTAGTTTTTGGAATATGTTTTTGAGCACTGCAGAGAGTAGCTCTGAAGATAGTGGGTGACCTTGTCTGACACCTTTTTTAATTTTGAAGGTTTCTCCTAGTGTTTCGATTTGAATTCTTGCTTTGTAGTTAGCATATATGTTCCGTTTTTCTAAGGTTTCCCATATTTCATCATGATTAATATTATCAAAAGCTTTTGCATAATAAATGAAATCCATGTTACACAGGTTTGTTGTACTCGCTGTACTTTTCTATAATTTGTTTGACAGTGTGTATACTTTATTTTTGGCAAAATTTTTCTTAAAGCCAGCCCGCTCTATTGGTTGGTTTTCATTCATTGTGATGCTTAATTAATTGATCCAGCTTATCTTGGAGAATACCTTATAATATTTGACATCAGGCTTATTGGTCTATAGTTTGATAAGTCTTTTTTTGAGCCTTTTTTGTAAATTAAGATTATGTGTGAGGTTCTGAAATGCTCCCTGATGTTTTTTTTTATAGAATAAGGGTGACAAACGTACACACAGTCCACCTGATGATAAGTGGATGCTGTGGCCCATAGACATCTGTATATTTATCTTCAATTAAGAATCAAAATGCCGATGCATTGTCACCCCCTGAGGCTTGAGATGGACTGCCTGGTTTCCAGTAAAAAAGGTTCTCTACACTCACCACACAAAACACCGCATCATTAAGCTACTATTTTACGCTGGCATTCTGTGAAAGCGTGGTCCTACCCTGATCGAGGTGAGGTTCATACTACAACCATAATATAGCTGCAGCATGCCTCCTTAAATTATTAGAATGTTGTTGAAGATTCTGGTCAAAATGGGTACAAGTTCTTCCAAGGAGCCTTTCAGTAGCTCATTTGTGATCTTGTCTGGACCTGGTGACTTTTGGCTTACTATAGCTTTTCTGACTTCACTTTGTAGTATTATTTCTGGTTCTGAGTTTGGGGGTCGCTTGTATGGTTTGCGTATTTTCTTTGTTTGGTATTATCCGGGTTGGAATAGAGGTTCTGGTAGAAATTGGATGCTGTTTTGATTATCTTTTTGTGGTTTGTGATGTTATTTATGTTACTTTCAGGTTAAGTGCCCAAGGGGTGGTTTTGCAGTTCTTTGAGAGCCTTTGCTAGTTCCTCCTGATGCAGTGATATTTTTTTTCTAGTATTTGAAGTCTATTGACTTTCTTGTCCTTTTATATATATGCCTTCTCTGATTTCCTTACTGAACTCTGGGTAATAATTATTGAAAAGAAAAATTAAAGACTTTTCTTATCACAATGAGAGTTCATATTGGTCAGTGCAGCGACACCATGCCTTTGATTAATAATTGTGGCTTAGGCTAGAGACCATAAAAAATATTATTGACCAATATAATTTTTTTTTATATACATATAATAAACTTTTATCATCGACCAAATCTCCCAAGATGTGTCACTTAGTTCGGTCTTCGACTTTACGCATCCACTTGCTTCCAGTCACATTGTGCAGATCATTGTTCCGTATATATAGTAGATATAGTCGGAAGGCATCTTACATTACGTTTGCCTAGATTTCCTAGGTTTGCCTGTTGTCACTTCTGCAACAGAAGCTAGTTTCTTCACTACGTTTTTTGCACTTTAAGCTTGTGGAGTAGTTGTATCATCAGTGTCCACAAGGCCTCCACACCATACCATGTAGGGTACAGGCACATTTTTAGCAAATCTTCGTACAGCACATGTAGATAGTGATGCATGTACAACAGGGTCCGCTGCACCTACTACAGCATCAACCACCCCAAGGTCCGCAACACATTTTTGGCTGAGTACAAATCCTTAATTGAACAATCCAAATCTGAAATATATAAAGATATAAGAGGTTAAGTTTTAGGATAGATGATAATTTTTTTAGTCGTTTTATGTACGTGTTCCGCAAGAGATTTAATTGTATATTTTATGTAAAATACATTTATAATTGTATACCATCGTATTTAGCCGCTTAACTTCGAGTTCGTAGATGTTTCCATTTTGGCGTAGAGTTCGTCCGTTATACTCTTTCTACGCTTCTCTGCATCAACTGCCCTATCCATCGCCCGTTAATCATTAATATGAGTAAACAGTCTGGAGATTGAAGTTTCAATCACAAGACACCTGTGACACTGTAGTCCATCACAGCCTAGGCATTTTGGCTCAAACACTAGGACGACAAGTCTATTGAAGAATGTAGCTTCATCTCCCGTCTAACAGCCATGAGATTAAGAGTGTGATCGGAGAGTTTTTGTGTTCTTCTACGGCGGGTCTTGCAGAACTTAGCTCCGACCGCATGGACAGTTTCCACGAGCTTGTCATTCATATCGTCCACTTCATTGCAGTCTTCTAGGCACTGAAAACGGTTTTGTAACTCGAGCTGAAAGGTTTCGGGACTTTGGAACAGAGCACGAGGGGGATGGAGCGTTGACTTCATTAGACGAGACCTCTCCAACTTAACGTTTAGGTTCAGTGTGCCTCTAACCATCAAGCTTCTGGACTGGAAAGGATACGGTATCAACATCAATGGCGAGTACATCACTCACCTTCGATTTGCCGACGATATAGTCCTTATGGCAGAATCGCTGGAGGGCTTAAGCACTATGCTCAATGACCTCAATAGTGTTTCCCAACGGATAGGTCTTAAGATGAACATGGACAAAACAAAGATCATGTTTAATGTCCATGTCACACCTATGCCGGTAGTTGTTGGGAGCACTAAGCTCGAAGTTGTTGACGAGTATGTTTACCTGCGACAAATAGTCCGACTAGGTAAGTCCAACTTCGACCGAGAGGTCAATCGACGGATTCAACTCGGCTGGGCAGCGTTCGGGAAGCTACGACATATCTTCTCGTCAGACATACCTCAAAACCTTAAAACGAAATTGTACAACCAGTGCGTGTTGCCAGTGATGACTTACGGAACTGAGACGTGGTCCTTCACTGCTGACCGTATGAGGAAGCTCAAGGTCGCTCAGCGAGCTATGGAGAGGGCTATGCTCGGAGTTTCTCTGCGTGATAAACTTAGGAATGAGGATATCCGCAGTAGAACCAAAATAACCGACATAGCCCAACGGATTAGTAAGCTGAAGTGGCAGTGGGCCGGTCATATAGCTCGAAGAACCGACAACCGATGGGTAAGAAAGGTTCTCGAGTGGCAGCCTCGTACCGGTAGGCGAAGTGTAGGGCGTCCCCCCACGGGATGGAGTGACGACCTGGTAAGACATGCAGGAAGTCGATGGATGCAGGTGGCTCAGGACCGTGCTTTGTGGCATTCTTTGGGGGAGGCCTATGTTCAGCAGTGGACTTGTGAAGGGCTGTAATGATGATGATGATGATGACTAGGACGACACAACACACAACGAAAGACTAGGATGGTTATTCCGCCATCCATTGGAAGTGTGAAATGTCTCGTTTTTCCTTAGTACATCCATAAAATGAGAGGGAGTGGCAGAATTCTAAGGCCTCCACCACACGGCATAATACACAAGTATTACCTTCGCATATATACATTTGAATTCAAAATTACTACTATAATTTACTAGTTGATAATGCTTTTCTGTGCCTTTTAGTAGTAACTCTTTTGTCACTTTGTTATAAAAAACGAAATGTACCTAATATATATTTCACAAGTTTATTAATAATATCCTATGTAAATAATTAACTCAAATACTTTATTGATTATAGACCCCTTGGCTCCCCATCATTGCTTCTAATACCAGATTTATCTGGTATAAGTAACCAGCATAATTCTTCCCAAACACAATCACGTAATGAAGTGTGGCGTTCAGAGACAGTTTTACAAGTTTTTATTGATATATGGATGAGCATTGAACAATACAGTACAGGCAATATTGAAGTAAGTAATCCAACGTCTATTTGCAGTTTTTTTTTAATTTATATTGACATAGTAAATTGCCCGCAACTTGCCCGCGTGAAGTAAAATAAATAATATATATTGGAGAATGTATTTTTAGGTCAGCAATAGTGCCACAAATAAACGTCCTATTATTACTCCTAAATTGTCTCGATTTCTGATCATCCCATTTGTGAATATGACCTTAAAGATTAAAGATAATGCTTGGCTACGGTTGTGAAAGTATCACTGTAGGACGCAATATTCCGACAATCGTGATCATTGCTTTATTTATTAGGAGACAGTTATTGAAATTTAAAATAGGTAAAAGAAGTGCACGCTCATTTCTTTCGAGGTGCGCTGCACTGTGTTCCAAACGAAACTCATATAATGAGCATATATACAAGTATTATCATATCTCATCCCAAACTTCGCTTATTTTTAGATTAATAAAATTGTAGTCCACTCTGAGATTAACTGTACTATATATACTAACGCACTGCAGTGTACCCTTTGTATTCTCTGTCACCCGTTTCAAAATGTTTAGAAAAATAAAGGGATTTGGACTAAATGGCACAATACTTTTGAATTACTTAAGGTAATTTTTTCAATATATTCCTTGAGCTTGAAATAAATTCTCATACCACTTCTTAAAGCCTTAATACTTAACAAATTTAAAAAAATGTATCAAGTATAAAATGTGAATCAGTATGTAGAGATCTTATACTATATGAAATTAGGATGTCATCGAATTGTTTTCAGAATTATCAACGAAATTATTCTGCCGTGTCTTCTAGTCCCGAGAGAGTGAGAACTGTGCGTGTTCTTGTTAAACACATTTATTCTTTTTCGGCAAAATATCTCTCAGATCATGCAACTCGATCATCTGCCCTTCGAAAATATGCGCGGCAAATAATGTGCGCAAGAGCATACCACTATGTGAAACATTTAGTGACGACATGGCCTTTAGATGCATCATTTAGATTAGTGTTGGAACTTTGGCTGAGTTTGATCCAACCTTGGCGGTATATTGACAACACAACCAGTCAGGAAAGGTAGTATAATTATTGAAGTCATAACATCTTTAAAAATGTTTTATATTTACTCTTAACTCTGTTTTTCTAGGTTTTCCAATGTACAACAAACCCATGAAGAAGGCAACACAAATACTCTAGATGCAAGCTTCACACAATTTATTGCTGAGAATTTTCCCTCTTACACCTGCATTTTTCAATTAGTTTTACCAAGATTTATGAGGCTGGACTTGACCACATACAAAAATGCTGTAATGCTGTTTAGATTAGGAAAGGTTTGAATATTGTCAATTAAATATGCCATGGTGTGTACTCATGAAAAACTAATATTGTATCTCAATAATTTATAGGTATTTTCACAACAACACCTTGTCCCGATTCTTTGGAATTTAGAAAGAGCAATGACAGAAAATGCTGCAGGATTGCAACATAGTCCAGATAACAGTTATAACAACAATTCAAATTTTGACCAAAGGTAAATATAAGGTACGATTAAAAGATATAAAGATCAAGTGTAAGCTGCTTTAGCTAGGTTATTGCTAATTAGTCATTTATGGCGTATACAGGGCGCAGAAATTACAAAGTTGGCGAGTATAACCTACTTTATAATTGCAATAACAATTTGTTTTAGGTTTGTAACTACTTATAATAGGTCGTGGAAAAAGTTTCTTGTTAGTATAAAATTGAAGAAAAATCTCTTTGGTTGTACAGTTTGTATCTGGCTGGTTTTAATATCAATACATATAGGATATTAAGAAAAAGAAAATAAAAAGTACAAAACACTTTCCCGCCATTTTTCAATTGTTTTTATATCCGCCAAAATGAGTGAATCTAACGAAGAAATTCGATACAGTCTGAAGTTTTATTACAAAAAAAAAGGGACAAATGCGACTTAAGCCGCGAAAAAAATTTGTAACGTTTATGGACCTAATGCAGTGTTAGTAAGACTAGCACAAAGTTGGTTCAAGCGTTTTCAGTCCGGGAATTTTGTTATCATACGGATAAGTCGATGCCATTTTTGAAAAAGTGGAGCATGGAGCAAGTTTAGTAGTAGAGAGCATATTAGTAGTTACGACATAGCCGAAGAATTGAGGATTGACCACAAAACTTTTGTTGTTTTTTTGTTTTGTTTTGACCCGTTTGAAACAATCTGGCTATACAAAAAACCTCGATATTTGAGTACCACACGAGCTCACTGAAAGAAACCTAATGAATCGTGCACTCGATTGCGATTCTCTATTGAAACGTAATGAAACCGAACCATTTTTGAAAAGATTGATCACTGGTGATAAAAAGTGGATCAGCTACGACAAAAAACGTGCGAAAAAGATCATGGTCAAAGAGTAGTCAAGCTCCAGAGACTATAGCGAAATCTGGATTAACACGCAATCAGGTGAGAGGCTGTATGTATGGTGGTATTGGATAGGCATCGTTTATTATGAGCTGTTGCCGTCGGGCAAAACCATCGATTCGAGTCTCTACTGCCAACAACTAATGAGACTCAAGCAAGAAATTGAGAAAAACTGGCCGGAATTGTTCAACAGAAAAGGAGTGAACTTTCATCATGATAACGCCAGACCACACATATTTGGCCACTCAGGAAAAATTTAGAGAGCTCGGTTGAGAAGTGCTAATGCATCCACCATATAGTCCTGACCTTGTACCCTTAGATTTTCACCTGTTTCGTTCTCTTCAAAATTATTTGAGTAGTGTTAGGTTAACATCAAGAGAGGGCTGTCAAAACTACTTGTCGCATTTTTTTGATCAAAAAACCCATGATTTCTACAGCAACGTGATTATGTCATTACCTACAAGATGGCAACAAGTTATCGAACAAAATGGCATATATAAATTAAAATTAAATTTAATTAAACTTTGAAAAAAAAAATGTCTTGAATTTGTATATATACAATAAAATACGAAGAAACTATTTCCCCGACCTTATGGATAGCGTCCTCTAGAAAAGATATTTCCGAAGTTGACACATTGACTTGGTTTAATTTTCTAATAAAGGGTACATCTATTTTTAATAGGCGTACAATAAATTTGTTGGGATGGTTGAATCCGTACGATTTTATGTTACCGTTTGGAACTGCAACATCTACGATTGATGTTTTTCCAAATATTTTTTAATTTTGATATTTTTCAACAAAATATTTTAATAAAAATTTCTACGATTTACAATTTTTCGAAAAATTTGCTATCACTACTTAGAACTCCTAACTTATATGCATTAATGAGGGCTAATAAAATCATACATTATACTTACAATCATACATATTACCCCAGGTGTCGTAAGAGGCGACAGAGGAAAATAAAACAGGAGATGGGCAGTAGGATCTTCCTGATAACAACTCAAAATAACAAAAAAAAACGTTGCGACCAACCTACCAAGCGTGCCAACTGGCAACTATGGCAAATACGAGTATCTCGCCTATGAGGCAATCCATGGGGAAGGATTATGTTCATCAGTGGACTTTTTATATGATGTAATGAATAAATTAATGAAACACACACTGCATAAAAAAAAGTTTAGAAGAAATTGCTTTCAGAACTATAAGATAATCTGTTGTACTAACTTAATGTATTTGTTTTTTTTTTGTTTATTCTGTATTGGTATACAACAAAGAATATTATTGTTTGCAGTTACACATATAACGGTATCGCTTTAAATAAATGGGTAACTATTGCTAAACAAGCTTTATCGGAACTGAATCTAACGACTGATTTTGAATACACTCCAATCTGGTCTGAAAATAGGAAACATTATGCACTGGAATTTGTAAGAAAAATTATTTCATTAAAAATAGTAGCTGAAAAGAATGTGGAAGAGTATGAAAGTAAATTAAGTAAACAAAATCAAGGTAATAATTGAATTAATTGAAATAATTGAGAGTTTATTTAAAAAAATGCTTGAAAATTTTCAAGTAACATATTAAAGCATGTTAAATGGCACTTTTTACAAAAAAAAAAAAGAGAAATGCTCTCTATTCAACTGTATTTTATTTAGAGGGTTAGTTAACAGACCTCTTTATTTTTAGTTTACATATGGAGTAATTCCATAGTGAATAAAATAATATTGTAAATTTCAAACAGATCCGATGATAACTGAAGTTAGTTTATATTTTTCCAATAATCCTATTATTTACTTATTACAAAACATTAAAAAATAATTTTAAATTTACTACTACTATTTATTGTATATTTTCTATTAATATTTTAGTAGTATAAAATTGTTTGATCATGATATTATGGCTTTAGCACATGAACTTTTTGATGTATAAGAAAAAAAAATTTAAATGTTTGAAATGCAACACATTTTTGGAATTTATTTCATACCAATAAACCAATTTTAGGGTTATGGTCAGCGGTGAAATACTGGTTGTTAATTTCGGACAAGGATGAGAACGAGTTTATTTTTGAAGAAATGAAGAAAGTTCCAGCTTATCTTAATAACTGTGTTCACTATTTTTGCAATATTTTTATGGTAAATTAACCATATTTTTATACAAACATTATTTATTTTATTGATTAATTGCCGTTTTGTAGAAACTATACAGATTAAATGTTTATTTCAGTTAAATGAAAACGTGTTACTTCCGCTAGAAACAGAGGTGGAAGATCTTTCGCAAGAAAACTCGTCTTTTACAAATTCTTTCAACTTTGCTCTTTCTATTACCAATAAGGTATAAAATGTTAAAATTGTGTTTTATTTTAGCTTAATTTTGTTTTGTTATTAATATTTGAAATTTAATATCTTCAGTTGAGAAGTAAGGCTAAATTCGTCAACTACATGGGAGATCCGGATCTAATGCCCATTGCGAGCTACGAGAACACCATCTTAGTGAGGATGTTTTATCAAATAGCATCAAGACTAAATGAAATTGTACGTATACCAACTACTGTTTTATGATATTTCATAACTACCAAAACTAATGTGGTATTTTATTTTTCTAGTATGGCCAACAGTTCTCTGTGTTGTGGCATCGAAATGATTTTTGGGGATATGTAGCGCGTGAAATATTGCAGAAACCTTGTACGATACAATCTTACATTAAAGATGTGACGAATCACAATAACATTGTGAGCCAAAACCTTCCGGCGCGGTTGTCTTTGCGACGTCTCGGCTCCCACGTTTTTATCTTTTGGATCAGCATAGGCTATTTGATCTTCAGGCTGTTCTCAAACAGTACTATATTATATATTGTTTTTTTATTTTCATTGTGGTTCCTGTTTGTGATATTAAAAGCTTGTTTGAAAATGCTGAAAATTATGAAAGATCACTAAATAAATGAAATTTTTTTATGAATATGCTGTGTTTTTATTGCATCACAAGCGCGAGCGAAGTCACGAGTAAAGGTTCTCATTGGAACTAGCGAATAAAAAGTCGTTATTGTATACTCTGCTTTTTTGATATTATAAGAATAACTGAGTAGAATGACGTTGACTATTTTAGGATAGTAAAGAAACATATTGAATTTCTTAAAATCTTCTTTTTTCTGATTTTGCACTATTCTCATCCATTCCCGTTCTCATGCTTGTTTTCTATTTTATGTAATAATTATTTATTTATGAAATACAATTTGGATTGTTTTCGATTTTTTTAATTTTATGTAGTAAAATGGTGGAAGCATCCAATAATTTTTTGACAAGTCTGCCTTACCAGGCCTTAGAATAAATAAGATTAGCTTAATCTTAGCCCAATACAACTAAGTTTTTCGTTAGTAAAGTCTGAACAAAGTCAAAGTACGGTCTATTTTAGACTTGCAGATTTTGGGCGTTGGACAGAGACAAACAATCGATATGACAGAAGCTTGATTTTCCAAGGGCGCCGCTGCTACTTGTAACCTCTTTTAATCCCATAAGCTTTGTTGATATTGTATTAATAGTGAACTTGTGCACAAACCTTTGCTTTCTGGAACGGTAAATTATATTTGTCTTCAACCTTATGATAATATAAATATATGTCTACCATAATATGCAATATCATTCTTACGAGTCGGATCTTATGATAGACATTTGATGTATGATAAAAGTATGCCCTTTCCTTCTCTCAAAATAGTGGAACTAATTATGTTCCGCTCAAGCTGTATGACGCAAAGCCTCTACCAAATTTATTACCTAAGGTATGCAAAATTAATTGCGGTTTTGCATACCTAAAGCATGATCACTTAAATTCATTTGAAGCTTATGTGAATGTGAGGACATCTGCTAATCAACGCTATGGATATGAAGTACTCTGTCCTATATACATGACTCTTTCTATTGGAAAAAACTCCATTATTATCGATCGTAACGTTTTTCCAAAAAAATCGAATGAACGAATAAAAATACTTATATTGTACACCACAAAATAAAAATATCAAAAAACATTAAAAGAGCAAGATAAGTAGATCTTATCTTATCTCTGCTTAGCCATCGCTCCCAGGCAACCAAAATATCGTTACAGCCTATTAAAATCCACTGCTGAACATATGCCACCCCATAGATTGCCATAGTTGCCACGCTTGGCTGGCAGCAAGCGGGTGGGCAACCCCAGTTTTTTATTTTTAGTCGTTATTAGGAAGACCGCTGCCCATTTGATTTGTTCTCCGTCACCTCTTACGACACCCACGGGATGATATGGGGTAGTGGATATTTTTACACCGCCACTACACGGTAAAACCAAAATACACATAAAGCTAATACATACCATAAAATGCTGGTGATAGGACTCCTTTTCTGTCTAGAAGTCTGTTTGGGTGGGTACCACCCTCTTGGCTATTTCTGCCGCCAATATCTGTACTCGCGCTACTGTGTTCTCTGAAGCTTAATGAATTTGAAGATTAGAGAGAGCCAGTATAATTCTGGCATTCCATCTTAGTCTAAGGTGACAACGCATCAGTAAGCTTTTTTGTAGTTGTTTGCGGGTGTCCATGGACTGCAGCAGCCACTGACCAGGCAACAGGTAGATTGTTGCGTGTGAAGTTCGTTTGTCACTTAAGTTAGTTACTTAAATAAATATAAGTACCTATACCTACTACCTACTATGGTCATAGGGGCACACTTTAAGTTCTGTTCTTCTGGCCGCTCATAAATGTTTGAATTTCCAATGTTGAATTTTTATTTTTTAAACAAGATGTTCTTTTAAAATAACTTTTGACGGGAAGTCGCATATTAATTGTTTTTACAAGTTGAAGTTCGTCATTCGTAGCAAAAATGGAATTAACGCGACTAGATTTTAGGGCGTTGATTTTTTTTTATGATTTTAAAAATAAACTCCGCAAGAATGTACTGCTCGTCTTCAAAATGTTTTTGGGATGGAAGCACCTCATTTGAGCACCATAAGGCGTTGGCACGCAGGATTTGATCGTGGCCTTTTTTCTCTATGATGAAATTCGCGAAGGTCGACCCTCAACTGCGATCACTGAGGAAAATTATATGGCCACTGTCAAGCGACTAATTGAAAATTTCTGACGCATCACCTATGAGCAGATTCAACTTCAAGGACATTTGGGTATTGATATAAGCCAAATTCATTGTTTTTACATCAACATATAAAAGTTGTTGCCTAGCTCTACTTAGTTTTTTTTAATAGGATATGGTGACAAACGAGCACACAGTCCACCTGATGGTAAGTGGTTGCTGCAGCCCATATATATTTACATCTATCTTCTATTACAAATCAAAATGTAGATGCGTTGTCACCCGTGGGGACTAAGATGGAATGCCTCATTTCACAGCAGCGTTAAACTGCTATTTTACGCTAGTATTCAGTGAGAGCGTGGTCCTGCCCCGGTCGAGCCAACCCATTCGTGCTACAACTATACTACTAATATAGCTGTAGCATGGCTCTACCACGTATAAAATTTGACGTTGATTTTTGAATGTTGATTGGTTTAAAATGTTGTGAAAGTATGATCACGGACATTCAAATGCTGTGTATGACATTGTGACATGAGATGCAACATGGATATATTGTTACACTCCGCAAAAGAAAGCACGGTCTTTTGTATGGGTAGGTATTTAAAGGCGACAGCTTGTCGTGAAGCGACAATTAAAAAAAAATAGAACCTAACCTAAGTACAACAAAACAACAAAAGTAGAGCCAGAAAACAATATATTTAAATTTATAAAAGGTATTTACAATTTTATAAAAAAAATGAAATGAGGATGATGATGAATGAAGTGAGAGTACAATTAGATTATAAAAAAAAAGGTGAGAGAATAGGGGAATATAGTGTTGTAGTGGGGCCTAAAAGTCGAAGCGACACACGTTGCGTTTGTAGAGGTAGGTTTCTTAGCAGCGACGGCGCGCAGCGCCTGGAGCCAGTACACGCAGCGTCCGGAGCCGGCGCACGTAGCGCCTGGAGAAGGGGCGCGCAACGCTTAGAGCCAGCAGTTGCAGCGCCCAAAGGTAGCGCCGGCGGTAGGTGCACTCGGCGCCTGGAGTAAGTAGTCGTAGCGCCCAGAGTAGTGTGGTCCCCGCGCTTGTAGTAGTCTCGAAGCGACTTCCGAGGTAGATGGAGGCTTGTAGGAATCCGGAGTGGTGCGGCTCCGCGTTAGAAGAAGGCTTCGCCGAAGACTTCACGTGTAGGTGGAGGCTTGCAGGATCCCGGGGCAGTGCGGCCCCGGGATAAGGCCTTTAGGAGATACTTCCAATTCGCGAACTGAAGCGAGACTGCCTTTCTTCACCGATTGTTCGGCTTTTATACCTTTCTAGAGAGAACGGAAAAATTATTTAAATTATACGCAATTTTTTTGTAAATGGTCAAGAGAAAAGAGGATTTATGTGGAATTATCGAAATAGGAATAACAGATCGGTAGCAAATTTGAATATAATTACCATGGAAACGATATAAATAAGAAAGACAAAACATGTCAAATTTTTGTTTTTGGTTTATAATAAGAAAACGGTAAGATTTAAGTGGAAAATGAGATATTATTGATATAGGAAAAAAGGTAGCGCAGCTGCCCACACAAAGCCCAAGATTGTAGAGTTACGGAAAACTAGCTAAAAGATCGAAAAAAGGTAGACTCCATTGACACCAATTTAAAAGTGCTGATAATGTGAAAATACGAAGTAGAAATGATTTGTTATTGTGTTCTTATGGTTTAAAATCGTTACAGGATCCTATGGAAATAAAGGTGATGTAAAATATCCAGTTTTGAGGTGAATGCAGAAAATCGAAACAGAATGGAAAAATGAATTTAAAATAATGTAAAATGATACGTAAGTAGCATAACACTACATTTTCCCCCCGACCCTGGAAAATTTTTGACTCAGCAAAAATTTTGATATATACATTCTAAAATAAACCATAAAAACACAGCTTTGCAGAAACAGACATCACCAGGCAAAATCAGATATACTATCTCTTACATACATCATCTGCCATTCAGGTAAGGGTGGAGTTCACATTCAATGACTACCACTCTAAAAGTGTGTTTTCGAAACGACATTAAGGCTTATTTAAGGAGTAGTCATCCGCTCCTGCGTGGAAAAAAAAATAAATTAGTCGAAGAAACACCACTCTTAAAAGTGTGTTTTCGAAAGGACATTCAGGTTTATTTAAGGAGTTGTCATCCGCTCCTGCGTGAAGATAAAAAAAAATTATTAAGGGAGTAATCAGCCGCTCCCAAGTGAAGATAAAGATAAAGAAATACCTCAAGTAAGCTTTAGTCGCTATGACTTAAGTAAAGATTAAGAACGGCCAGAGCGGTAGGGCTCAAAGCCAGAAAACAGCAACATCACCAACGAGATGTGTCTGAAATAAAAATAAAAAGTGACGATTAACCAACGAAAGTTCGAGGTCCTAAAGCAAGATGTGTTGAAGAACACTGGATCATCAAACAAACAAACAAATTAAAAGAAATAAAAATAATAAGGTGAGAATGATGGTGATATTTATACATATATACAAATTAATAGTTAATAAAAGTTAAGAAAATTTATGATTTTACATCTTTGATGTGCCACTTGCCTCTAACTCCATTAGGGTCTTCAAGTACATAGACTAGTGGTGACAGTTTAGCTATCACTTTACACTTGATGAACTTAGGGGCAAGTTTAGCATTAAAGTATGCGCCGGCATTGCTTAAAACATGATTTTTACGCCAAACAGTATCTCCCACATTAAATTCTTTAAAAGCCCGGCGAAGATCATAGCGAGCGCTATTTTTAGCGTGCGCTATGTAAAGTTTAGTTTGAACTTTGTGAAAGATAGATGAGAGGAGACCAGCATTAGACGCGTAAATATCACGAGGCATAAATATTAATTCCTCGAGGTTCTGAGTTGGAGTATAGA